CGTATTTCCCTAAACTAGAAGAAAAAAAAACTTTTGGGTGTTTCATTCCCACCAGCCAGTAATGCTGGTGGGCGGGCAGTCCCTCCGGACACTGCCGGAAGATAGGGCGGAAGGCCCTTTTCAGCCTTCTTTCGGGATTCGTGGGAATGAGTGGGTGGTGGTTCGGGTGAGAAAAATGGGACGAACGGAATGAAGACAGAAGAGAATGAAAGATTATCTGAGGAGTATTACTGCCTCAACAAAGATAAGAAACAAAATCTTATAATTTCCTATAAGTTTCCGTGATAAAATGCTGAACCAGAGGCAGAAGTGGATGTGGAAACGTACGCAGAACTTCCGCAGTTACGGAAGCGAAAGCAGAGGTCTGTTATATCATCTTTGATGTAGATCTTGACATATTGCAACCGCTACTAAATTGGCGGCGGTCACTCCGGAAAATTTTCTTATTTTTTTTTTATTAGTTAGAATTAATAAAGGGCTTATTTATTATGGATAGGCAGAGATGTGGGAATCAGACAATTTTTTGGTGCCTAATGAAAAACATTATCTACATTTTGCAGAAGATATTTACTTTACGTTTGTTAGATAATCTTGTAGAACGAAGGACGGGGAATTGTTTTTTGTTATAAATCGTTTTGAGATGTGTACGACTTAAATTTTGAATAATGTGTTTATTATTTAGAATTAATATATTGTTTAATTAGTTGCAATTAGGATCAAATGAAAACTTTTTGATAAATATTTATTGTTTCACTTTAAAATACTCTTAATGAAAAGAATTAATTTCCAGTGTGGGAACAAGAAAATAAGTTTCGTGGGTTTCCTGACAATCAATTAGGCCATAAAAACAGAACAACAGAAGATTTGTACAATAGTTCTTTATTTCAGGTTATTTGTTTTTATCTGGCGTTTACATGTGCGTAACAAAACGATTTTTCACGTACTTTATTGTTGATTTGCTGACCGTGGAAAAAATAGCATGTAGGAGTCCTGAATATTAACAATTTCACTGTCGTAAGATAAATTGCAGTTCGTTTGGATAAAGTTGGTCAAAATGTTATCACTTTAAAATATATGTGCATACATAGGAGGACGTAGTTTTGTAAACTTACCGGAAGTCATCAGGTCTACTTCTATCTTTGTTATGGGTATTTCTGTTTTGTGTTGCAACAAAAGAGGAAAAGTTAATTCAGATAGTGTAAAAGTGTCGCGTCGGTAACTGTAACCATTATTGTCGTCTCTCGTTTGAAATAATGGGTTCGAAAAGTTGGAATTACGATAAATTGTTGTCGGAGGAGAACTCCCAAAATGTGAATATTAATGCGTTTAAGTTTGGATTAAAACTAAAGCATGCATTGCATTTAAAAGGACGTAGTTCAACTCCTGCTAGTCCTACTGCACCTAAGACATCCAAGAACCATTTCTTTTCGCAACCAAACAGTACTGACGACGATTTCTTCAAATTAGAGAAAGCATATGTTATTTTTTTTTTGTCATTACAATTTTGAGAAAACTATTAAAGATTAGACCAGCGTTGCCAGCCTGTACGATAATTATGGGGACATTCAAATTTCTATTAAACGTACGATAATTCGTGCTTATGGGTTAAAAAAATATTTTTAAATAGTACCTAATATGTAGTGGGACTACGATATTTGTTTCTGCCAACCTGTTGCCTTGTTTTTCTATCTTCTTAATAGAACAAATGGTCATTTGAACAGTCTCTGGGTATTTTTACTCCTTAAAAATACAAATTTTCTCTAATTTACAACAGAGCCGGGCAAAGTCGACTCTTTTGATTCTCGAAAGCTTCTCAGGTACATCTGAAGAGCTGCTCCTTGCTAAACTAGAGACGGTTAACGGACTTTTACTTACAAGTCAGTGTATTGAAATGAATAGGGGATGCAATAAATTTGAGATCACTGATGAAATGCTATCTCGTTTTAATTGGAATAATCTTTATAAAAATAATAATAAGAATAATGGTGATAGAACAAATGGTCATTTGAACAGTCTCTGGGTATTTTCACTCCTTAAAAATATCAATTCTCTCTAATTTACAATAGAGCCGGGCAAAGTCGGCTGTTTTGATTCTCAAAAGCTTCTCAGGTAGATCCTAAGAGCTTCTCCTTGCTAAACTGGCGACGGTTAACGGACTTTTACTTCCAAGTCAGTGTATTGAAATGAACAGGGAATGCAATAAATTTGAGATCACTGATGAAATGTTATCTCGTTTTAATTCGAACAATCTTCATAAAAATAATAATAAGAATAATGGTGATGATAGTGATGACGGTATAATAATAAAACAGAATTAATACGTTGATTATTATTATTGTATTAGATTTTATTGTAAAAAAAATATTTTCATGTATGTTGAATAGTTGATTTTAAGAACTTTAAGTACAATTTTATAATGTTAAAATATATACACTATATGCATAGATATATAAATATATGTCGGAAAGTTGTTTATTTGTATACATTCAATAAAATTTAATTGTTTATGGACTCTAAAGAAAGAACTTTCTTCCAAAATGTTTAAAATCCAGTCCGAAATTCATTTTTCTCTGTCAGGAAAGTTTTTATAGTGTCATGTATTGATGGTATAATAGAACTGAGAAAACCACTAGGGTACACACTCTTTTTACAAATTCATACTCCCACCACTAGACTATTACTCCGATGCGCATGCGCAATAACGTACAATAATTTTCCTAATGAGTGCGAAATTCTATTTACTGAACTTGGCAACGCTGAACGTTAGTCACTGAGATGTCGTGCGCCACCGGGGTGACAGTGGTACGGCGGTGGTACAGTCATCTGGTGGCGTCTATTGTGGGCGGATGCCCATCCCGTGGCACCAGCTCAAGTCAAGGGTAACTCAGACATGCTGAAGGTTGAGTCGCTTTTCAGTTAGACTTAGTATTTTCGCAACAAGGTTTGGTAACATTGCAGCAATGTTTGGCAGCTTTACAGCTAAATTGGATAGCTTTGCAGCTAAAATGAGCACCTTTACGGCTGATTTGGGTAGCCTAACAGCTTAGTTTGATAGCTTTACAGCTACGTATGGTAGGTTTTTAGAAAGATAGCTAGTTGGCTAGAGAGAAGGTTCTTTTCTGATTTCTCTCGTGTTTGCCCGCTGTTTAATATGATTTCTGGATCTCGCATCTACAGATGCCGCATAGTACTTACGATCTTCATGATTGATGATTAGGAAGAAAAAACGAGAAAATGTAAATATTATTTAGTAGGATCATGTGATTGGTTATTGGAAATTTAAGATAATGAAATTAAGTATTCAATTTGGCCCGGACAATTTATTAGAACCAGCATGGACTCGATCGCACGTGGTCCATTTCTAAGAATTCCAATTATTTTATGACACCTGCAACAGTCAATCAAATCTACGCAGAGTGTTTACGAAAATCGCACTGTATTAATAGAATAGTATTAGATTTATGAAAATCGTAGCTGTTAATGAACTCCAGGCAGATTATTTTCGATGATCGGGTCATCTTATTATTATTGTATGACGTATGGAGCAATCCTCGCGGTCATCGCCGATCTATGTATGATCTGTCCGTCGATCAGACTATGATCTGGTATACTTGATTAAAGGAACCCTCAAAGGGCAGATGCTAGGATNGTAGTTTTGGTTAAAATATAGATGTCGAATTCCCTCCCGAGTACTAGCCGAGTTCCCTCCCGTTCATATCAACTCCGATAATTAAGTTAACGACTACTTACCGATTTTATTTATCGAAAATAAATATATATTTATAGTGCACTTCACACTTCAGTACTTCAATAAATTAATGATAAAATAATTTCAGAAAAAAAAACACATATCAGTTATGAAATGTTTATTTATTTAATTTTAAAATGGTTTCCCACTACCTTAACAAATTCAATGTTTGGAAATTCGTGTGCGTCTAGCTTTTTGATGCAATCATCTAGGAAAACTTTGTTAGTTTTAGTTTGTCTTGTTAACAATTTTTTAAAATTAGATGATGATGAAATTAGTATTTGTCCAATAGAAAGGTAGTCTGATAAAATTATTATTAATATTGTGGTGTCTATAATATTAAGATTAATATGTGATGTGAGGCTGTATTATTTAAACAACTCTTTATGACTTTATAGTGGCAATTAGCACTCAAGGTCATCCGCCGCCGTTGGGAGGCAATTGATGTATATTTAGGAGGGAATTCGACATATCGAAAATTTTAACCCTAATTAAAAACAGGTATATGGGAGAGAAATAGGTATTATCCAGTC